GATCATAATGTGGTCAAATATGTGTGTTTGACCAGTAACTAAGGATATATTGGACATTTAATATAAACTCAACTATCAGGTGGGACCCACCACTACCACCATTAATATCAACCAAAATATTAATTTCGTACCTACCCACCTACCCCTCCCTCATCTTCTTCCCCACACACACATAAACATACACACAGGCACACACAAACACACACATTACACAGGCATAAAGTGTCGGACCGCCATCTCACCGCCGCACTCGCCGTCGCTCCACATCCGACATCCCCGACCGCCGCCGTGCACAACCACATCATCACTGACCGCCACAACTTTATCTTTTTCACCCAATAAACTAACGCACACAGTACACCATTGCGCACACACACACACACACATACAATGTTTCCACGACAACTCATGCCTCCCACCACCTTCCGCCGCGCCGCCGCCATCGCCCACAGTCGGTAGCCCCGTCTCCCGCCTCCCACAGAAATTAGCCCCGCCGCAAGTCGCCATCTCTGCCGTCCGCTGTCGGCCGACGAAATAACCCTCCGACAGCTGACTCTTCTTCTCCGATGACCTTCCATGGTCGGATGTTTTCCTCTCACTACCACTGCCCACACCTCCGTCCTTGTCAGGGACCACCACACTTCCTCTTTCCGGCCCAGATTTGAACGAGAGAAAGAGTCTCTCAAGGACAAACAGTCATGTCGTCTGCCGCCCTATTGGTTGTGGTTGATCGCCGGCGAGGGAAGGGGCGGTAGGGAGGTGGCTGGGAGATTGGACTTGCATTTGGGAATTTGAAATGATAGAAGGACTTAATAGCAATTTAATAAACTTTTGTATATTACAATTGAGTTCAAGGTACAAATCTATTAATTTAAGATCTAATTAATACTTTAACATGTAATATTTTATTATTTTTATTTTGAAATTAAATACTATGTTTACTAAAACTGTAAAACATAATGTAATAATAATATTATTTTTATACAATTAGGTTTTTTCGTAAAAAAAAAAAACAAAAAATAATAAAATGAATCTGGCATCCAATTAAAATAATCGAATTATTATTATACAATTCGGTTCGGTTATTTCATTAAAATAATAATAATAATAATGAAATAAATACGACATTGGATTAAAATAATTGATTGTTTGAATTACCTTGAATAATCAAAATTATTTATTATTTTTATTAATTATATATATAATATTGAATATATATTTAATATCTTTATAATTGTATTTAATATTTTCATATTATTATATTATTACACTAAATAACCGAGCTTTTACAAGTAAAGAAATACAATCTAATCAAAATATAAAAATTTGAACTGAAAATATAGTCGATCAGTTCCGTTCGATAATGTGCAATCCAATACCCATCAATGTGCAATTCATATAACCCTAATGTGCTCCCGCGATACATAAACATTTAAAAAAGTCATAATATTTTTCATATTGTTCAATCCGATAGTAATGAAAGTGCGATTCGTATACCGTATTGTGCACCAGATATTTTAATAGTATGCAAACTAATACCAACTTAATTGGTCGATTTAGTCAATCGATTAACCAAGTTGATCTAAATAATATATATGATTTAA